AAGACTTTCAAATTGACACTCTTCTATTTCATAATCCGATAAGGAGTATTGGTAGTAAGTCAAAGTCATCCATTTTCAAAATATCTACAAAAACTAAAACTTTATCTAGAATGCGGTTTAACCACCATAACCAAAAAAAGAAGCTTCTAAAACTGGTTTTCAAATTCCAATCAAATTGAAGTGAAACAAGAATGAATTACAATTGGACTTCTAATTCAAAACTAATTGATAACGAAAAAAAATATATCTGTTAACATCTTTTAAATACTAGCGCAAATCTTTTTTAATGTGAAACATTTAGCACATGACTTGTTTGGGTCATTTTTCTAGAACTGGATTTCATTTTTTTAGACTGCTTATATCCGTTTGGGCTAAATGGTTTTGATACCATATGAGATTTTGAAATTATTATCTAAAACTAATTTACAATGAATAGTTTGATTCTTCTCCTATCTCCTCTCCCATTATAGACATTCACAAAAAATTAGTAATAATACTGATATTGACATCGAATCATCAATCTTATTCGTTATCTCCAAATCCAGCTGGAAATAGCCTTAAACCAATGGAATCACGACAAATACAGGAAAAACAAAACATAGGTCCACTCCCAATTTATGTCACAACGGTCCCATATTCTTAATTAACTGGATTTTACTATTAGATGATGGTAATAGGAGGTACAGATACATCTGCCTTAACCTTGGAATGGGCAATGTCAAATCTATTGAATCATCCACAAGTACTAGAGAACACGAGACGAAACATTGATACTCAAATGGAATCATCGTCATCAAGTAATCGTCGTTTGTTGAAAGAAGAAGATTTGGTGAATATGAACTACTTGAACAATGTTGTGTCCGAGACACTAAGGCTTTACCCTGTGGCACCACTTATGGTTCCTCATTATTCATCTTCTGGTTGTGTGATCGGTGGCTTTGATGTTCCACGTGATACAATCGTGATGGTTAATATATGGGCTATACAAAGAGATCCAAGCGTGTGGGATGATCCGACGTCGTTTAAGCCTGAGAGATTTGAAGAGGGTAATGAGTTTGGGTCACATTTTAGTGGTAAGATGATGCCGTTTGGGTTAGGGAGACGGGTTTGTCCCGGGTTGGGTTTGGCTAACCGGGTTGTTGGGTTGTTGTTGGGTTCGATGATTCAATGCTTTGAATGGGAGAGTGGCTCGGGTGGTCCGGTTGATATGACTGAAGGTCCGGGACTTAGCATGCCTAAGGCTGAACCATTGGTTGTCACGTGCAGACCACGTGAGGTAACTTCCGACTTGCTCTGTTCTTAAGAGCCAAGGATTTCTAAATTGGGATTCTAATATATGAAACTATATACAAGAAACTATATGTTAATATACAATAAATGCCACTGATGTTTATTTAAAAGAATAAAGGTTTGGGGTTTATCTATTTTTATGTGGTTATTGACTTATTGTTATTTGACCAATGTCCAACTTGTATATGTATTTTTCATAAATTGTAAACCAGGAAATGTAAAAAAAAAAAAAAACAATAATTTATGCTGGATTTTTAAGAAATTAAAATATTGTGTGTTTACGTAAAATTATTCAAGTGCAAGAAAATAAATCATTTACACTTTATGATATTTTATCTCTGTCATTCTCTAAATTATTATTCTAATATATTGGATTTGGGACCCAAAAAATGTAGTTGAAGAAGAAATATGTTTCAAATAATTTCCTTTGTTTGCTTCAATAGAGTCCACATAAATTTGTTCTTATCATAGATATTTGAAAGTTAGAAAACTTGTTCTTATCAACTATTAATTTATTACTTCAGATTGAAAACAAAAAAAAAAACAAATATTTTATTATCAAGAAACAGAACATCTGGATCTTTTTGAAGACATATCCATTCAAGAACTCTCGCTCCGGTTCGGTTTAGCCGAAAACTCAGAAACAAGATCTTCCTCCGCCGCAGGAATCCACTCATTCGTCGCCGGATTGCTTCTATAAACCGCCTTTTCTCCTCCGTCTTCAATTCCAGAGACGGCGGTCACGGCTTCCTCACCACCGTCTTCCTTCACCACATTTATAAACCCAGTTCCGGTCTAAATTCAAGAAACAGAACACCATTACAAAACTAGATTTTTTTCTGCTGATGAATTTTT